CAATGCAGCTGAGTTGCAAGGGATCACAGCTACTCATGGTTTTAAAGCATCAGAGCTGCAGGATGTGTGGGGCCCTTTCAGGCAGCAGCTCAGGGAGGCCTTGTTAGAGTGGCTGCTGAGGCTGTGGCCTGGTGGAGCAGGGGCAGTGGGATGGGGGCTGTGCCCCACGGCATCCTCCACACAGTATAATACCACTCTTGGCCCATAAACAAGGATGCTGAGCCTCTTAATGCCAAATACACTTATCTGAAGTTATTTGATATTGCATTGGATTTTGGTCTACCAGAGCGATGTTACTGTGTTTAAATCAATGTGCAAATTATACTTAGCAGAGTATAACAACTGTGATAAGCAGCTGAATCACGAAACAAATGGTCTCTATAATATGTTCACCATCAGGATGCTGGCTGTTGCAGATTGCTGGGAAGGGACATGGGGATTGAGACCAGATGAAGCCCATTGATCTCTCTGAAGTGCTCTCTGCTTTGTCATTTTTTATACTGTAAGTTGGGCTGGGTCATGAATATACTCCCCAGATCATCCTGGATAACTTAGGAAGATGATGGATATTTGCATTCTTTTGATTAATTCAAGGATGAAAACTTACACAGCCAGTTGATTCTTTCTACTGCCATTCCTGGTTGATCTGCCCAGTTGATATCTATGTCACCCTCCAGTTCCCTGTGCATTAAGTTCAGAAACAACTGGGAAATATTCATATTATAGACTATATGAATGCTCGTTACCCAGTGATTTATTATCTCATGCAAGGTTTTTAAAAGTTAGCAACTTGTATTCCCTTTCTCCACGTGAAACAACTACAAATGACTTCTACTTTCATTTTATTAAGTTACATTTTTCTTCTCTTACTGTTTAAAGGAATTGGAGTGATGAAAATATCACAATATTAATTCCTTTAACGATAAACAGATGGTCAAACTTATTGGTCCTACAATATGACTAACACTGCAAAACTGTGCAAAAACTCAATCTCTTATAATAATATAGCTGGCACTAAAGAACTGCCATAAATCAATAGACATAAATCTCAGATTTATTTCTTTTTGGGTCAAATGATCTACTTGCAGCAAAAAAGCTGATATAATGTAATTTTAATTAAAATGTATATTTATTCTTCCACTCTCTGTGTTAGCATTCAGGCTATTGGATGTACTTCTTTCATAATACTATATTTTGTCAGTTTTCCATAGTCATTGTTTCATTAAAAATACCCCCTGATAATAACTGTATAATAAATTATGATTCAATAATTATGATTCAAAATAAAATATCAGATGAGAGAGAATAATAAAGCTATAATAAAAAGGAATAAAGTTTAGCAATATGATAATGCAGCATGAGGTTTTTATAGGCTTCATGTAAATGTTAAAATCTATAAATTTTTTATATTGTGTAAAATTGTATAAAATAGTAATGAAGGGGGTGGGAAGAGGAAAAAAAACAATGCTAGGCCACTGGTGAAATCCCGAAAATGGTTTTATTCCTTTTTTTTTGTAATCTGAGAGAACATAAAATAATTTGTTATATATTTTTAATATTTATATATTTAACATGCCTTATCTAAATCAATAAGTTAGCAATCAACAGTACATATTATTTACTATAGATAGGAAAGGTAAATTGAACAGGGAAATCTGCAAATTTCCACTTTCCAGCCCACAATATTAAGTGAAGATGTGTGAAGCTTGATCACCTCTCTTCGCATATTCCTTTGTCATACCAGGTATTCCTATTCCTGTACTACGCTGTTTCCTTATTTGATCTTTTTGTTTTATAAATTTGAGTTCTAATTGAAGATAGAAATGCATGCGAGAGGATATGATACGAATTCCTCCTTGCAATCACACCAATCTCCTGTGGTGTGAATTTAAATTCTTAATTTTCTTGTAGTCTAACTATTATTTATTTAATGGTGTTAATGCTATAGTTAGTACTTCTTCTGATGGCAGATTGCATTAGGCATTTGCAATTTAATTTAAATAAAACTCTTTGAAATTTATTTAAGTAAAGGTGAAAGGGTGCAATATAAACAAATTTGAGAGTATGCATTTCTAAAACAGGTTCCATAGAGCTACAAATAATTATTTGCTCTAAAAAAACCTGTCATCTTGGAAACACCTCTGCCTTCCCATGTCTTGTCAACCAAGAGACATCAAAATAAGATGTACTTGATATCCCCTTCAGTATGGGGCCACTTAAAAGTCAGCTCGTGATGAAGCTGTTTCTGTTTAACTGGCAGGTGGTTAATCACTGCAAAAAGTCATTCCAGATAAACCCAATCTTACAAGATCAAGGTTCTTGTAGGATATCCAGAGGGGAGGAGGGCTAATAGGGGTAAAAAAAAACTATATATGCACAAACTAATGAATTTACTGAGTGCTTGCACCTTGTAAAACAATGTGAATTTCTTCTGTAAACCTAAAACATTGTTTTCATGTGTGGGTTTTTAAAATATCAGTAGTGAAAGGAAAATAAGGCCCTGGATGAAGAACTTCTCTATATGAGACACCACGTAATTTGAAAATATTTAAAGACAACTGCAGCTTTAATCACAAACATCGCAGCTCAGTCACTATGCAGTGTCAGGACATAGTTTGTTCTTCTCATGCATTGCAGCTGTATTCGGTGGTTTAAGACAGAAAATGATGATAAATATTGGACGTAGCAAAAACTCCTGAGGCAGTTTATACGGCTGTAATGTTATTTTTAAAGCTGCAATCCAAGCAGGGCGTGGGGATTGCTGCATGTAAACCACGAACAGCCAAAGAGGATCTGACTTGTGCCTCCCCTGTCCCAGAGGCAACCTAGGGCAGATTAATTAAAAGAAAATAATAAGAAGAGTCCTCTTCATATCTCCTGCCTTAACCCATAACAAGTAGGTGGCTCTGGGGGATGCAGCACAGAGCTTCTCTCTAGCAGGAGAAAAATGAGATGGGAGAGCAATGTGGGAGAACATCACAACGATGCCGCAATAACAAGTGAGGGTTTGGTCACTCACTTTCTCTTCTAATGTAAGAATTAAGAGGCCTGAAATGAATGTCCAAACAATCTGAAAAGGGGATTTCTTCATGCAACGGGTGACTAAACTGTGGAACTTCTTGCAACTGGATGTTACATAAGGAATATGGAATATGGAATGTATAATATAGCAGATGTTCATAGGGAAAATGGAAGAACTCACTGAAGAGAATCTATTCGAATGACACGAAGAAGCCACATCTGGCTCAAGAAGTCCCTGAGCTAACTCGAGAGAGAGCAACACGGAGGTTCTTCCACAAGGGCAGCGAAGGCAGGAGCAGGCACCATGGCCGCACAGTGGGGCAGTGACTCTGAACCAGGCCACCTCTCCACAGCACCCACGCTGGGCAGCTTGGTGACAGTGACAGGACCTGCCAGCAACTCAGCAGCCATGAAGCAGGGGTGATGAGGCAAGACAGGTCTGAAGTCAATCTAGTCAGCTGAGCGGAGAACAGCAGAGGAGAAGGAAGTGCAGGTATGCTTGCCATGTAGTTCAAAAAGAGAAATAAGAGCCTGAGTTTAAATGGAGCTCCGGGCTAAATGGGCAGAGGGTCACCAAGCAGAAGTGGAGCTTGTGGAGCTTGTCAGGGCTATTAGGGGCTTATTCATGGAATCACAGAATGCTCTACATTGGAAGGGACCTTTAGAGCTCATCTAGTCCAACTCCCCTGCACACGGAGGGTCACCCAGAGCATGTGGCACAGGGCGGCATCCAGGGTTTAGAAGATCTCCAGAGGAGACTCCACAGCCTCCTTGGGCAGCCTGTGCCAGGGCTCTGTCACCCTCAAGAATTTTTTTCTTAATTTCCTGTGGAACTTTTGGTGCTTCGATTTGCAGCCATTTCCTCTAGTCCTATTGCTGGCCACAACCGAAGAGAGGCCTTACTGGTGCACCCAGCCCTTGGCAGCAACCTCCCCTCTCATGAAGGTATGTCCCTGCCCTTCACAAAGGTCTGGGGTTTGAAGGGTACTTGTGAAAAATTCTGGTTTTATCTAGAGCACGTGCTTGGCTTTTCAGGAGCATCCTGCAGATCCATAGCTCTAGCAATTGATGGGTAGTGAAGCTTTCCTCAAATGAGGAATTTTATTTTTTTGGGGTTCTACTGCATCTTGATGTCAGATGGAGCAAGGGTTGGCAGTGGTTTGGGTAGTAAGTCTTCTAGAGGGAGACATGAAAAGCTAGATGGATCTTTAGGGATCATGGGACTTCCTCACCGTAAGTGGATTGACTTTACCAACAATGGTGAAAGGCTCCAGGTAACAGTGGACCGGTGATGGTTGGGATGATTAAGTCATTAGTTAAGACGTCGTGGTTTTGGCCTCCTCCAATTGGATGATGAAGATAGCACGGACCTTTGGAGTTGTATGAGCAGGTTACTATCAGTATCCTGAGTGCACCAATAGGTCTCAATAGCCCTACCAGGGACTCACCTGAGGTCTCCATCCACATCCTCTGCCCACAGTCCCAGTAGCTCCATTTAAATTCAGGTTTGGGCCATCAGTTCCTGCTAGAGGTATGCGGTAATTGCAACTGGTTGTAGGCCTGTTCTTGGTTCTTGTTTGGATTTCCTGTTTTGGACCTGATGCTTAACTTTGCTTTTACCTGATGGTCCCTGGACTATACCTAGCACCTTCCACTCTCACTGTCTGCAATGCCCAGTTCATTTGCTGTGGTCCTTCACCCTCCCAGCGAAGCCACTGCCCAGCCTGTCGCTGCCACGCCGGTGCCGGTTTGCCTTTGAGGGCACTCCTGCCCTTGCTGTTCCCCAACAGCTCAGCTCAACCTCAGGACCTCAGCGGAGCCAACCTCTTTTGGTGATTTTTAAACAGGGTTTTCCAGGACTGTGATTCCTATACAAGCAGTCATTTAGAAGGCTGTCACTTTCTGTGGGCATAGGAAGCACAAATAACTTCTGAAGAACTGGATTCACCGTTCACCATTCACCAACCATGAGTTGCATCACAGATCAGTTCAGGTATCAGCTGGAGTTTCATTGGAGAAGTTGATGTTCCTGACCGAGCTGGAGGGCCATTCTCTCCTAGAAAGTACTGGAAGGTAGCAGCTTCACCCTTTGCTTTCATCTCTTGGCAAGTCCTTTCCCCTGGTAAGAATTACAACACCTAGGACAAGGGGCTCCTGAAAATTAAAGCTGCCTCTAAGACCAAACACACAACTCAAATCTTTAAGTATGCTTATTTCTTTAAACTTGTAGTCTGATGGATTAATTCTTTCCATACCAGCTCTTACCATCTATCAAAAATGCAAGTTTGAAATGTAGCTTTACAAAGAATGCTATGCTGTAATATCAAGTCTTATTTGCATATGTATATTTGTATATATATACTGGCCTTTTCTAAATTGAACTGTCCATACTGTACAGTATAAAGATGTGATAATATTGCAAGTATAGTGCAATTTGAACTATGCATTTTTCCAGGCACTGCACACAGAACTTGTACAACGGCAAATCAGCCTACCACAAGAACCATCTAATAAAACAGCTGAAGCTTTTCTGCTTGTTGCTTTTTTTAATCGAACAATATAATAAGGGAACTCGCACGTTCCAAGTTCTTCATCAAGTTCTCACATTGAATATTGGTCCCCTATAAAGATCAAACATACAAAGCTATAAAGTTTAATGCAGGAATATAATTTTACTGTGTTAATCTGCATATGCATTGGTACAGCTGTTCTGTGAATGCTTCTGATGAAAATTTTTCCATAACTCTGTCTCTCCCAGCTGCTCCCATTGTGTCTTTTAAGAGAGGATCTCTCACAAATTTTTCCATGGCCTCAGAGAATTGTGTTGGCAAAGGATCACACAAATATCCTGTAACATTATTCAAGATTGATTCTAAAGGTCCCCCTGAATTAACAGCTATAACTGGACATCTCATATACATCGCCTCCAGAGGAACAATGCCAAAGTGTTCGTTACTTGGAGTGTAAAGCACACACAAAGCGTTACTAAGAAGAGACATTTTCTGCTCATCTGAGAACGATCTCAGGAAGGTCACCTGGTCGGTGATATTAAGCTTGGTCGCAACACTCCTCAGCTCTTCATAGTGCTCCACGTTTTCCAGCACCTTTTTGTCATAGCCCCCTGCCACAACCAGGTGAACTTCATCCCACTCACGAGAATCCAGTCTTCCGCGAAGCTCGTGCAGAGCTTCCAGAGCCAGCGCCAGGTTCTTTTTCCTCTCATACCTATTAATGGAAAGGAACAGGAACTTCTTCCTTTTGGGCACCAGCTCAGCTATGTCTGCGGGAACGGTCGTTTCAAAGCTTTTGGTGCTGAGCGACGGGTAGAGGACCTCTGGCTTTATGTGGGATAAGGACTTAAAGGTCTCCCTGAACACGCCGGCGGTGAAGTTGCTGTTGACGAGGATGCAGTCGGCCATGCCGGTGGTGACTTCCTCCAGCCAGTCCAGCGGGATGCGGTAGAGGCGCTTCAGGAAGGACTCCCTCTTCGTCAGGAGCTGGTCGGGGAAGTGGCAGTAGAACAGCACCTTCCGCCGCCCCCCGGCCAGCCGCAGGATGGGAATGCAGGCGGACACCTGGAGCAAAGAGGGGACACGGGGCGGCCTCAGCGCTGCGAGCTCCCGCGGACATTGGGGTGCTCCCCCCCCCGCCCCCGCGCGGGCACCTGGTCGCACACGAACACGTCGGCGCGGGGCCGGGCGAGCAGCAGCGCGTGCAGCGCGGCGCAGGCCATGCGCAGCGCGGCGCACAGCGCCTGCCCGCGGCCCCACACGCTGCGCGGCAGCCAGCCCCCCGC